TAAATTTTGCAATTTTAATTTTGAAATTGAAGTAACAAAACATGTTTCAAGGACTTCAACTCAATCAAGACACAAAGTAAAATACAAGGAACACTTCGAAACTGCTTGTTAACTGGAGTTATCTAAAATATGCAAATCTTTCTCCAAGGCAAAAGACACAAAGTAATACTTTAAACCTAAAAGATGTGGACAAGTCTAGAAGGTATATAACTTAAATATTACTTTCCCTCATAGACAGATCATTAACCACTTCCTGCTGGGCGACCTGTTTTGGGTACATAGGCTTTATATGCAGAGCCGGGAGCCCTGAACTGGGACAAAAGAGTTGGGCCTTATAACAAAAGACCATGCTCAGCACAAAAGACTGAGCTGCTGGGCATTACGGACATTTTTTCACTCTCAATAGTGGAGATAATCCAGCCTTGTTTTGAAACAGTATACCACAGTTTGAGGCATTTAGAGTGAGAGGATTTCCACTGGGGACAAAAGCTCTCCACCTCCACAGCGATGAGCCACACAGCACCGCTGCATGCTAATCTGGCCCCTATTGAAAAGAGGTCAGCAGTGCACTGTGCCGGTTTTGGGAACAAAAGAATCTTACGTAACACCCCAAAATCTGGGCTCTTTTTCCAAGGCTGCAGGCCTGGCTGAAATATTCAGGAGTCAATGAATTCCCTGTCAGCTTTAAAGTAGTGCCCAAAGAGTCCTTTGTGTGGCCATAAACGACCATTAAATGAAATGATGAATTTTTGAAGAATTTTGAAAACAGAAAATCTTGAAAAGGACTCGGCATCTTGTCTTGCTCAAGAAAAATCCACCCAGCAGCAAGTGGTTAACAAACACTTTGTGTTCTCTTCTTTTCAGTCACTCAGCCTGGAGGTTGAGGCTCACAGAGGAGATGTGGAGATTCTGTCTCCTCTAACCCAGGAGCTTCAGAGTGTTGGTGTGAGGAACCCAACCATTCAAACTAACAAAGAGACTGTCAACACTGAGTATCAAGAACTCTGTGATAAACTGAAGGTATGTCTCTCCTCACTGAAGAATGAACCATGACACCAATAGTGCTTATAAAAACAAACGTTTAATACAAAACTCTGTATGAATTTACCCTGTAGCCGTAAGCTTGATGAAACTGTAGCCAGTGGAAAACCTCCAGTTGTGTTGTAGTAAGTTTTGTGTCTATTGTTTGGGAGAGCAACCTTGTAAGCTGGTATGCTTAAAATATGTGAATCAAATATAAATTTGTTAATTATGCGTTTGTTTCTATCTTGTTTATTCTTGTCATTGTTGTCATTCATGTCTTTACTTGAGCATTCACATACAAAGACGAGCATGTTGATAACCTATATGTAGGTCATTAATATCAAGGACACAAGATTTAAAATGAATAACAATGTGGAGAGATGTTAAAGCAAGGCCAAAAAAACCATATACATGTAGTGTGAATACGAATTGTAAATCTACTAACACATGAGTTAGAAACAAACAAAAAAGTGTTGAGGGAATTAATTTACCGATAGAAGATACAATAATTAACCATTATATTTAATAAAATAAACCATTAGCGAATTAATTAATCCTTATAATATGCGTATCTAATTCGACAGGACTGTTAGTCATCAGCTGTGTTGATCCAGTTAATGGAGTACTAGAGTAGAATAATAAGCAAGGAATATTGACTAAGTTGGGTCAGGAAAGAGCCCATCTTTTGATCATCTTCCTGAATTGGATTCCTTTACCTCAGGATTCCCAAGTCCAGTGTTCTCAAGGCATCACGCTCAATGAAGAATTCCTCCAAGCAGTACAGGAAAGTGGGACATTTTTACAGCAAGCTGAGGAGACCTTGGCTGCCTGCTCTGACCCCTCGGGTGACCGCAAGATCTGCCAAGACAAATTACAAACCACGGAGGTATAAAACAATAGATATCAGTCAATAAGTACTGTTTTTTATGACTAATTATATATGTTCAAAATCAGTGTGAGCTTTGCTCATCTTTGAATGTTGTGGGTTATTGTTACATAAAACAGCTATCCATCTGGCCCACCTGTAGTAATTGTTTTGTAGCCGCTACATATTCACCA